AAAAGATAAACTTGGGGCTTTTATAGGTAAATGGATGCAACTAGAGACCACACTCATACGTGAAATAAATCAGACCCGTGTGTGGAAACATCAGATTGTCTCCCTAGTGTAAGAACCTGAAAGAGTAAATAAAATCTGAAAGGGACACTAGATGCTGTGAAAGGAAAGAAACTGCTCAAAGGAAAGGAACAAGTGGGAAGAAGGAAAGGAGGAAAGAAAAAAAGAAGGAAGGAGAAAAATACATATGCACATACACAGGACAGCTGGGATAATTGTACTGCTGATTTCTATTGGTCTATTGAAAGAAACAGGCAATGCTAATTTTTTCTCTTTAATTTTCTTTTTTCTCTTTAATTTTTTTGATCAAATTTACATGCTTATATCTGGTCATCTGAACAACTAATTTGAAGACAACAATATGCAGTATAACAATCTTAATGAGTTTTTTTTTATTATTCTTTATTCCCTTAAAAAAATAAAAAACTGCTGGGCATGGTGGCACACGCCTTTAATTCCAGCCCTCACGAGGCTGAGGCAGGAGTATCACTGTGAGTTTGAGACCAGCCTGGGCTACAAAGTGAGCTCAAAAAAACAGACACTAAATAAATAAATAATAAAATTTCTGCCTTTGTTTAAAGAGTCCTACTAGTGTGGTGAGCATTCTGTCACATCAAGAGTAACTGGATCCCTAACTCCTTTGATTTACCTCCCCAACACCTGTGTGCTCTTATAGACCAAATGTGAGTCCTGCTGTTGGGATAGTGTACCCCTGTCTTCCTCTGAAATATGTGTTTGCTTCAAGTGTGAGTGAAAAAGGAACTTCGCAATACTTTCTTCCATTCCATGCACCTACCTTTCAAATTCCATATGTGGTGTTTGTTCGTCCTATAGAGAAAAAATGATCTGTATCTGTGTATGTATTTTCTCTTGTGTCTATTTGTGTCTAAATAAAGTTTATTGAGGATAAAAGCCCCTAAAAAATAGGATATAAAATTTATATTTTGTTGCTTTTATATTGTGTGTTGCTTAATATTTTATTGTAAGATAGCTATCATGAACCATTTTGTCTTTTCACCTTAATAACAGAGGCATGAAATATTATTTATAAGTTTGAAATTACTGGAGCATTATGAGTTTGATAAGGAATACGTTCTACCTTTAAGATTTACCCTTCCATATGTTTCCATGACAGTTATTCTCTTTCTTATGCTGCCACATGAAGCAGTTCCCTTACAGTTCCTTACAGGACCCACAGAGTGGTGATCAATGCCCTCAACTTTTGCTTGTCTGGAAGAAACTTGCTTGCTTGCTTGCTCCCTATTT